CAGGGCTGGACACAAAACAACTGCTACATATAGAAAGTCAGGGACGAAGATGAGTTCTGGACATAACTAAAGGACTGAGTAATCATGTTAGCAGCCAACACTCCCACATATGGTAGGCACCGATGTAAGTAATACATGTATTCACTCAAATCTCACAACAATCCTATGGCATGGTAACTAGCATAATCCCCAGTTTAAAGATGAGGAAATTGAGTCACAGAGAATAACTCGTTCAGGGTAACCAAGCTAACAAATGACGGACCTGGGTTCAAACCCAGTAACCTGGCTCCAGAATCCATTCTTAACCACCTAGAGCACTATCACTGACATGGAGAGAGAGACAGAGTTCTGTAAAGAGGGTGAAGTGCAAATAGGAGGACAGCAGCAGTTAAGCAATGATGTGATGAGGATAAAGAAAAATGGAGGCTGGGCACAGTGGCTCAAGCCTGTAATCCCAGCACTTTCGGAGGCCGAGACGGGTGGATCACAAGGTCAGGAGATCGAGACCATCCTGGCTAACACGATGAAACCCCGTCTCTACGAAAAAAATACAAAAAACTAGCCGGGCAAGGTGGCGGGCGCCTGTAGTCCCAGCTACTCGGGAGGCTGAGGCAGGAGAATGGCATGAACCCGGGAGGCAGAGCTTGCAGTAAGCTGAGATCACGCCACTGCACTCCAGCCTGGGCGACAGAGTGAGACTCCATCTCAAAAAGAAAAAAAAAAAAAAAGAAAAATGGATAAGAAAAGGATTAGAGCAATCACAAGTAAAAGACCAGAGAAGGGGCCTAACAGTAAAGGAGAATGAGGAGAAGGAAGAGATGACAGAAAAAAGCGAAAGCAGAAAGTCAGTTGTCCATGTGGTTTGGTGAGATTAAAGAAGGCCCAGGAAGGCCTCCAGGAAAAAGCTGCCATGTCAGGCAGGACACAGAGAACAATTGAGGAAAGGTGATTCTTACAAGATGGTGAAGGTGCCATTGTAGGTGCTGGGTTTTGGCATGGGCACTTGGTGGAACCTCTGCTTTGGGCTGAGATCAATACATGACAGATGAGATCAATACATCTCATCTCTTCAGGTACAGAGCTTACATATGTTGGTGCTTGTAGAGGCCTTCTGCTCCTCTTGTGGAGTTAAAGCCTTATTTTTGAGTGTAACTTTCAGACCGCACCAGTGAATTCTGAGTAGGTTCTAGTTCAGAAGGTGAACGTGTGACTTCAGTCAGGTTTCAATGCTAAGTCTGAACTTGGTCTTGTCATGGAGCTGTAGTCTTGTCCAGGCCTGTAGAATGCTCAGTCTTTGTAGTGGGTTCTGGAGTTAGGGCGAGCCCCAGGTCTGAAAGCTGAGTTGAGGTCTTCTCCATGGTTGGAGAAGTTTTAACCTCTGTAGTAGGTTCTGTAGTTATGGTAAGCTCCAGGTCCAAAGGTTGAACTGTGAATTGAGTCAGGTTTTGATGCTGAGCCTGGTTCTTGTCTGGAGGTGGAAGTGTCACCTCAGGGTGCTTTGGAGGAGCAGCTGTAGTCTTCAGAGCTGTAGAAGGGCAGAGCTTGATCCTGGCTTGGTGTTGGAATGGGTATCTGATAACAATACACAGGCGGTTGAGCTACAGACTCCTTAGGTAGCTCTGGAGGCCGAGTTGGGGTCTTCTGCATGGTTGGAGAAGGTTCAGCCTCCATAGAGTTAAGGTAAGTTCCAGACCCAAAGGTTGAACTGTGACTTGACTCAGGTTTGAATGTAAAGTCTGAACCTGGTGTGGATGTGGAAGTGTCACCTCAGGGTGCTTCAGAGGAACTACAGTCTTCTTCAGGGGTATAGAATGTTCAACCTCTGTAGTGGGTTCTGGAGTTATGCTAAGTCCACCAGATCCAGAGGTTGAACTGTAACGATGGGTGACATTGGATGCTGAGCTTGATCCTGACCCGGTGTTGGAACTGTCACCTCTTGATATACTGGAGGTTGGGGTACAACTTCCTTAGGAGGCTGAGTTGGGGTCTCCTGCATGGTTGGAGAAAGTTCAATTTTTGTAGTGGATTCTGGAGTGATGATAAACCCCAGGTCAAAAGGTTGAAGTGTGACACTGGCCAGTGTTGAATGCTGAGCTTGATCCTGACCTTGTGTTGGAACTGTCACTGCTTAATGAGATGGAAGTTGAGCTCCAACCTCTGTAGGTGGTTCTGGAAGTTGATTTGAGTTCTCCATGGTTGGAGGAAATCCTCTGTAGTATGTTGTGGCGTTGTGGTAAGTTTCAGATCCAAAGGTTAAACTGTGACCTCAGTTAGGTTTGTGTGCTGAGCCTGCACATGGTCTGGAGTTGGAAGCATCACTTCAGGGTGTTTTGAAGGAATGCAGTTTTCCTCAGGGTTGTCAAATGCTCAGCCTCCTTCGTGGATACTGGAGTTATGGTAAGCCCCAGGTCTAAAGGTTGAAATGTGATACTGGGTGATACTGGATACTGAGCTTCGTCCTGCCTTGCTGTTGAAACTGTCATCTCATAACGCATTGGAGGTTGAGCTGCAACCCGCTTAGGTGGCTCTGGAAGCTGACCTGGGACCATCTGCTGGCTTGAAAGTTCTATATTCTTGGTGGGGAGGGCCTCTGAATTCTGAACTGTGGCCTCCTGCTGGTTTGGAGAAGGCTCTGCCTTCACAGCGGGTATGGAGTCTGAACTGGAAAGTTTTGCTGAGTTAGAGAGGGTTCCACTTGCTGAGGGAGCTGTGGAGGCAAAGATGGGCTATCTGCTGGACTGGAGAGGGTTCTACCACAGTAGAGGGCTCTGAAGACTGAGCAGGGACTGCCTGCTGGACTGGAGAGGATTCTACCTTTTTAAGTGGCTCTAAAAGCTGAATTAGGGCCTGCTGTAGGACTGGAGATAGTTCAACCTTCTCAGGTGGCTCTGATGGCTGAGCTCAGCTGGAAACTCTTGCTGGACTGGAGAAGGATTTACCTCCTTAGGGGGATTTGGAGTCTGAGCTGTAGCCTCTTGCTGGGCTGAAGATTCACTCTCTTCAGGAGACTCCAGAGGTAGGAAAGGGGAATTAGGCTGGGCTAGAGAAAAGTCAGTCTGCTCATTGGAAATAGGAGGGTTGTCCTGCTGGACTGGAGAAGGTTCAATCTCTGTAGTGACTACTGTAGGTATGGTAAACTCTATATTCACATTTTTAACTGTGATTTTAGGCCAAGTTGAATTATTTCTGAATAGTGAAGACAGATCTTCAGGTGAAAAATTCCATCTCATCATTCAGTGGACTTACAATGTCTGAGGAGAGCTGAGCTGGAGACCAAGTTGTGGGCTTTTGAGCAAGAGGAGAAAGTTCATCATTTTCAGGGGTAGTTAACTGCTGAATGATAATCTCTTGCTCATCTTTCAAATGGTTAAACTTTTCAGGGGACATTAAGGACTGAGCTTGATGGTGACCTGGAGGTGAAACTGTTACCTCATAATGTTTTCAAGGCTAAGCTGGAATCTCCTGCTAGGTTGGAGAAAATTCAACCTCCCAGGAGACTCAGAAGGCTAAGCTGGCTGCTCATGTTCACCGAGAAAAGGATCAGTCTCCACAGGAGAACATGGAGGCTCAGTTGGGGCCTCCTCTTGGGTTGCGGAAGTTTTCACCTCCTCTGGAGGGTAGGTTGGGGCCTCCTGCTGGACTGGAGAAGATTCATTATCCTTGGTAGGCTCTGAAGTTATGCTAATCTGTACATCCACAGGTTTAACTGTAATGTTTGGCAAGGTGTAACGAGCTCCATCTGTACCCTGAGGTTAAATTGTCACCCATGATTCAGTGGAGTTTGAGCTGTATTCTTCATAGAAGACTCTGGAGGCTGAACTGGGGTCTCCTGCCGGGTCTGAGAAGGTTCAACCTCCCCAGGAAACCCAGAAGGCTGAGCTGGCTGCTCCTGCTTACTGGTTCGAGGAAGGTTCGGCTGCCACAGGAGGACCTGGAGGCTCAGCCAGAGTCCCTTGCTGGGTTGCTGAAGATTTAATCTCCTCAGGGCGCTCTGGTATCTGAGCTGGGGCTTTTAATTGGGTTGAGGAAGAGTCCACCTCCTCGGGGTTCTCTGGAGGCTGAGCTTGGGCCATTCTACTCAACTTCGACCACACCTGTAACCATGCCTTTGCCTAGACTGTACTCCTATTTTTTCTTATTTAACAAATTATAGCTAATCTTTAAGCCCCAAGTAAATTTTTAGTTTATTGATGCAGCTTCCCCTGACCTCCGTAACTCAAGGATCACAGATTCTGGTGAATTCTAGCACTGATGGTCTGCATTATGTTTTAGTACTTTATTATTTACACCTCCATTTTTATGCTTTATTGTCTTCTATCGTTTTCATGTTCTGGAGACAGTGTCATACTTGTCCCTCGGTTGGACACAAAACGGGTGCTACATATAGAAAGTCAGGGACAAAGATGAGTTCTGGACATAACTAAAGAGCTAAGTAATGTTAACAGTCACCGCTCCTACATATACTAAGGACTGATGCAAGTATTACAGGTATTCACTCACCTAAATTTCACAACAATCCTATGAAATGGTAACTAGCATAATCCCCAGTTTAAAGATGAGGAAATTGAGTCACAGAGAAGAATAACTTGTTCAGGGTAACCAAGCTAATAAATGACAGACCTGGGTTTGAACCTAGTAACCTGGCTCCAGAATCCACTCTTAACCACCTAGAACACTATCACTGAGATGGAGAGAGAGACAGAGTGCTGTAAAGAGGGTGAAGTGCAAATAGGAGGAGAGCAGCAGTTAAGCAACGATGTGATGGGGATAAAGAAAAATGGATAAGAAAAGGATTAAGAGTAATCACAAGTAAAAGACCAGAGAAGGGGCCTAACAGTAAAGGAGAATGAGGAGAAGGAAGAGATGACAGGCAAAAGCGGAAGCAGAAAGTCAGTTGTCCATGTGGTTTGGTGAGATTAAAGAAGGCCCAGGAAGGCCTCCAGGAAAAACTGCCATATTAGGCAGCACACAGAGAACAATTGAGGAAAGGTGATTCTTACAAGATGGTGAAGGTGCCATTGTAGGTGCTGGGTTCTGGCTAGGCACTTGGTGGAGCCTCTGCTTTGGGCTGAGATCAATACACGACAGTGTCTCATCTCTGCAGGTACAGAACTCACATATGTTGGTGCTTGTGGAGGCCTTCTGTTCCTCTTGTGCAGTTAAAGCCTTATTTTGGGTGTAACTTTCAGACTGAATCAATGAATCCTGAGTAGGTTCTAGTTCAAAGGTGGACCTCTGACTTTAGTCAGGTTTTGATGCTGAGTCTGAACCTGGTCTGGACGTGGAGCTGTAGTCTTGTCCAGGGCTGTAGAATGCTCAATGTCTATATAGGGCTAGAGTTATGGCAAGCCCCAGGTCTGAAGGCTGAGTTGTGGTCTCCTCTGTGATTGGAAAATGTTCACCCCTGTAGTAGGTTCTATACTTATGGTAACTTCCAAGTCCAAAAGTTGAACTGTGACTTGGGTCTGGTTTGAGTGCTGAGTATTGACCCTTGTCTCATGGTGGAAGTGTCACCTTAGGGAGCTTTGGCAGAGAAGCTGTAGTCACCATGGCTCTAGAAGGTTCAACCTTTGTAGTGAATTCTGGAGTAATGGTAAGCCTCAGTTCCAAAGGTTGAACTGTGACACTGGCTGATGTTGGATGCTTAGCTTGATCCTGGCCTTGTGTTGGAACAGACATCTCATTATAATACCCAGGAGGGAAAACTACAACCTCCTTAACTAGCTCTGGAGGCTGATTTGGGGTTTTATGCATGGTTGAAGGTTCAACCTCCATAGAGGATTCTGGAGTTAAGGTAAGTTTCGGATCCAAAGGTTGAAATGTGACTTGAGTCAGGTTTGAATGCCAAGTCTGAACCTGGTGTGGATGTGGAAGTGTCACCTCAGGGTGCTTTGGAGGAACTATAGTCTTCTTCAGGGGTGTAGAATGTTCAACCTCTGTAGTGGGTTCTGGAGTTATGGTAAGTCCCAGGTACAGAATTTTAACTGTAATGCTGGGTGATATTCAATGCTGAGCTTGATCCTGACCTGGTGTTGAAATTGTTACCTCTTGAAATACTGGAGGTTAAGGTATAACTTCCTGAGGATGCTGAGTTGGGGTCTCCTGCATAGCTGGAAAAGTTCAACCTCTATAGTGGATCCTAGAGTGATGATAAGCCCCAGGTCCAAAGGTTGAAGTGTGACACTGGTCAGTGTTGAATGCCAAGCCTGATCCTGACCTTGTACTGGAACTGTCACCTCATAATGAGCTGGAGGTTGAGTTACAACCTCCATAGGTTGCTCTGCAAGCTAGGTTGAATTCTCCATGGTTGGAGAAAATATACCCTCTGTAGTAGGTTGTTGATTCGTGGTAAATTTCAGATCCAAAGGTTGCACTGTGGCCTCAGGTTTGTGCTGAACCTGCACATAGTCTGAAGGTGGAAGGGTCACCTCAGGGTGTTTTGGAGGAGCTGTAGTCATCCTCAGCATTATAGAATGCTCAGCCTCCCTAGTGGGTTCTGGAGTTATGGTAAGCTCCATGTGTAAAGGTTGAAATGTGACACTGGGTGATGCTGGATACTGAGCTTGGTCTTGGCCTGCTGTTGGAATTGTCATTTCATAATGCTGGATACTGAGCTTGGTCCTGGCTTGCTGTTATAATTGTCGTCTCATAATACATTAGAGGTTGAACTGCAACTCCCTTGGGGGCTCTGGAAGCTGAGCTGGGACCATCTACTGACTTGAAGTTTTTGTCTTCTTAGGAGGCTCTGGAGCCTGAACTGTGGCCTTCTGCTGAGCTGGAGAAGGTTCTGTCTCCATAGGGGGCTCTTGAGTCTGAGTTGGACCCTCCTGCTGAGTTAGAGATGGTTCCACCTCCTGAGGGAGATTTGGCGGCAAAGATGCGGCCATCTGCTGTGTCAAAGAAGATTCTACCACCATAGGGCTCTGAAGACTGAGCAGGCACTGCCTACTGGACTGGAGAGGATTGTACCTCTTCAGGTGGCTCTAAAAGCTGAGTTGAGGCCTGCTGTAGGACTGAAGATGGTTTGACCTTCTCAGGTGGCTGATGGCTGAGCTGATATCTTCAGCTATGGTGGACTGACCTCTGCAGTGGACGTTGGAGGATGACTTGAGGCTTCCTGCTGGGTTGCAGATGGTTCAACCTGCTTAGGGAGCTCTGGTGCCTCAGCTGGGGACTCTTGCTGGACTGGAGAAAATTCCACCCCTTTAGGGGAATCTGGGGTCTGAGCTGTGGCCTTGTGCTGTGATGGAGATTCAATCTTTTCAGGAGAATCCAGGGGTGGGGAAGGGGTATCATGTTGGGTTGGAGAAAAGTCAGCCTACTCAGTGGGAATAGGATTGTCCTGCTGGACTGGGGAAGGTTCAACCTCCATAGTGACTTCTGTAGGTATGGTGAGGTCCATATCCATATTTTTAACTGTGGTATTAGGGAAAGTTGAATTGTTTCTGAATATTAAAGACAGATCTAGAGGCAAAAATACCATCTCATCATTCAATGACCTTACAAAGTCTGAGGAGAGCCAAGTTGGAGACTGAGTTGTGGACTCTTGAGGGACTGGAGGAAGTTCATCATTTTCAGGGGTATTTGGCTGCTGAATAATCATTTCTTGCTGGTCTTTCAAATGCTGAAACTGCTAAGCGGACATTGAGGACTGAGCTGGGGCCCCGTGTTTGGTTAAAATTTCAACCTGTTAGGTGAACTCTGGAGTCATGGTTACCATGTGATGCACATGTTTCACAGTGTCATTGTGCAATGTTGGAGGCCGAACTTGATCATGACTTAGAGAAACTGTTACCTCATGATGCTCTGGAGATTAGCTACAATTTCATTAGGGATCTCTGAAGGCTGAGCTTGGGCCTATTGCTGTGTTGGAGAAGACTCAACCTCCTCAGGCATCTGTGGATACTCAGCAGCAGCCTCCTGCTGGGCTGGAGAGAGGTTCTCATCTTTAATAGCTGGAGATTGAATTGAAGTCTCCTGTTGAACTGGTAAAGTCATCTTCTGATTACTATGGAGGCAGAGTTGGGTCCCCGTGCTTGGTAGTGGAAGGTTCCACATAATTAACTGGCCCTGAGAGCTGAGCAGTAACCTCCTGGTGGATTGGAGAAGTTCCCACCTCTGCAGTAGGCTCTGTTGCTATGATGAGCTGCATAACTGAAGGCTTAACAGTGACATTGGGCAAATCTGAATGCTGAGCTCGATAGTGACCTGGAGATGAAATTGTTACTTCGTGATGTTCTGGAAGCTGAGCTGGGGTCTCGTGCTGGGCCGGAGAAGATTCAACCTCCCCAGAAGACTCAGAAGGCTGAACTGGCTGCAAATGCTCACTGGGGGAAGAGTTAGCTTCCACAGGAGGACCTGGAAGTTCAGTTGGGGTCTCCTCCTGGGTTGCAAAGGGTTCCATCTGCTCTGGAGGCTAGGTTGGGGCCTACTACTGGGCTTGAGAAGATTCTGCCTCCTTAACAGGCTCTGGGGTTATGATAATCTCCACATCTACAGGTTTAACTGTAACACTGGGTAAGTTATAACGAGATTGATCCTCAACAGGAGGCTGAAGTGTCACCTCATGATTCAGTGTAGTTTGAGCTGTACTCTCCATAGAGGACTCTGAGGCTCAGCTGGGGTCTCCTGCTGGGTCTAAGAAGGTTCAGCCTCCCCAGAAAACTCTGAAGGCTGAGCTGGCTGCTCCTGCTCACTGGGAGAAGGCTCAGCCTCCATAGGAGGACATGGGAGCTCAGTTGGGGTCTCCTTCTGGGTTGTGGAAGGTTCCACCTCCTCTGGAGGCTGGGTTAGGGCCTCCTGCTGGGCTTGAGAGGATTCTGCCTCCTTGTTAGGCTCTGAAGTTATGGTAATCTTGAAATCGGCAGGTTTACCTGTAATGTTGGGCAAGGTAAAATGAGCTTGATCCTTACCCTGAGGTTGAACTGTCACCTCAAGATTCAGTGGAGTTTGAGCTGCACTCTCCACAGAGACTTGGGAGGCTGAGGTGGGGTCTCCTGCTGAGTCTGAGAACCTCCCCTGGAAACTCAGAAGGCTAGGCTGGCTGCTCCTGTTCACCTGGAGAAGGTTAAGCCTCCACAGGAGGAACTGGAGGTTCAGCTGGATTTCCTTGCTGGGTTACAGACGTTTTCGTCTTCTCAGGGTGGTCTGGTATCTGAGCTGGTGAATTTAATTGGGTTTAGGAAGAGTTCACCACCTCGGGGTACTCTGGAGGCTGAGCTGCGGCTTGTTCCTGGCTTGATGTAAGTTCCTTACCTGGCTCTTGAATTATCGTAAGCTCCACATCCACAGGTTTAACTGTGACATTGGGCAAGTGTGAGTGCTGAGCTTCGCTCCAACTTTTAATGGAACATTTACCTGATGATGTATTGATGGCTGAGCTACAGTCTCTTCTGAGGCAGGCAGCTGCTGTGCTGGGGCCTCCTGCTGTGTTGAAGAGTGGAGCCCCTTAAAGGACTGTGAAGGCAGAGCTGGGGCCTCCTGCTGGGTTAAAGAAGGTTCTACCTCCTCAGGGAGCTGTGGAAGCTGCACTGGGGCTTTTTGCTGGAGTGAAGAGGACTGGATCTGTCCTCTGGATTTTGAGTTTCAGGCTCTAGATGGAATTGAGAGCCCAACTTGCTCAGGGGGCCCTGGAGGCTCATCTGAGTTCACCTGGAGTTCTGGAGGCAGGCTGCCCAGATATAGTATATCCATACTTGAACCTAAATACTCATCCTGTAAAGTTTGTTTCTGATGCTGAGGTTTTGATATAAATCGGTGTGGAGTTCCAACAAAAACCTTAGCAAGCCTCCGATGCTTAGCTAGATCTTTCTTCAGGTTTTTGGGCAAAACACTAATCTTCACTGCTTTTGAATTCTGACTATCTAGAGGTGGAACAAGTATTTCATATGCCTGATGATCTGCAGCCTGATCTAGACCTACAGTTTGAACCTTACTTTTGAGGCAAAGAGGCCGAGCTAGCGTCTGGTTCTGATCCCAGTCTGGCATTGGAAACAACTCTGGGAGCCTTTCTTGCAAGTCAGCTTGTCATTCAGATGCTGGTGTACAGCAGCGAACTTCTCTGGCCCCAGGGGCAGCTCTCCAGCTGGATCCGTGTCCAGGAATGGAACCCAAGTCTCAGTCGGTTCCTGAAGCGAGGCTGACATCTGGGTGGAAGTAAAGGACCCCAGGTTATCAAAGCCCCCCGGGTCTGTATGGGGGTGGGGGTGGATAAGCGCATGGGGAGATTCCAGGGGGAGATGGCAGGAGCGCCAAGACCAGGGCTCAGTTGGCCTCAGGGGGTCGGAGGTCAGCTGGAGTGGGCCCTGGACCTGGCTGAACCTCCTGGACTAGTAGCCACAATAGTTGTCACGTGAGGAGGGGCCGTAGGGACCAGAGACGCAGCCCATATATGACATACGTTGGCGTCCCACACTGAGCTAGAACCATTATGGCAGCCCAGAGATGCTCGCACACCTAGCAACCTCGCGCTCCTAGCAACCACGGCCCCGCCTCCTCCGTTATTTACCATATCTTTATTTAGGCAACCTTTATTAAGTTCCATTCCAGATTTGCTCCTCGTCACCAGGGCGATCTTATCCCACAATCCCACCCAAGCCTCCCTTCCCTCTCCACCAGAACACCCTTTCCCTCCCCTTCGCCAGGAAAGATTTGGGCGGCCGACCCAGGTGGTCCCAGGACTCCAGCAGCCTACAGTGGTGGGGCGGGGTGGGGTAGCGGCACGGCAGAGCTTCCCAAGGAAGTTAGGTGACCTCGCCTCGGGATATTCAGAAATGCTAGTCAAGTTCTGGGAGCCTGAACTCTTCCTCCTCCAAGCTGAAATCGGAGAGATACTCTTCCTCCTCTTGGCCACACTGCTTCCAGGGAGAGCAATGGACCTGCAAAATGTGCACCAGTTAGGGTGGCAGGCAGAATGCACAGTAGGGTCATTCATTCCAAAATGTTGTCATTTTTGCTAAACTTTTGATATCCTTTGTTGCATGTTTGATAATTCACCA